ATCCCCCCCCCCCCCCCCCCCCCCGGTTCCTATACTTAATGGGACATCCCATGGTATAGAATACACCGTTGGCCGCTTCGGGTCAGCTGCCCTGGTTGTGTTCTGTGCCAACTTCTTGTGCCCCTCCAGCTTTCTCGCTGGCTGGGCATGAGAAGCTGAAAAATCCTTGACTTTAGTCTAAACACTACTGAGCAACAACTGAAAACATCAGTGTTATCAACATTCTTCACATACTGAACTCAAAACATAGCACTGTACCGGCTACTAGGAAGACAATTAACTCTATCCCAGCTGAAACCAGGACAGGTACCTATATGTACGTGGAAGCCTGCCTGGTATTTTATTAGCCAGCTAAAGGAATTACCCCTCACAAACAAATCAGGTCTTAGATTTCATGAATATTTGTGTTGAGACAAAATACCACGTGGTTGTCATCTACTTGGGGAATGTGGTTTCAGGTTTTCTTGTTCTCTGTACTAATAGTCCTGTTAGCCTGAGGACAGGCTTCAAACATAAACCAGAGCTGAAACATGGCATGTGCATTTGAAGTGTCTAATTCACTCTGAAAGGCAGAAACCTTGTCTGAAGGAGCTTGAAATACTGGATTTACATGTCACAAGATGGGGGAAAAGGTAAGTCCCATAAAACACACCTGACTGTCCATTTTAATGATCTTTTGTATGTTGTCATACATCCCAAAGTAATTATTTTCAACTTCATTTTTTGTATGAAGCAGAAGAAAACAAAAAAAATCTCAAGTACTTTTTATCAGCTGTGGACTCTGTGGGTCATGTTTCATTGCTTGGTTGTTAACTGTGCCTCGGAGTCTTCCTCCGAGCTGTGTTCATCATCACCTACAACAAGGCACACAGCTCTATATTACCTCCTAATCCTTTCCTGCTTCCTGCATTCCAACTAGGCTTATACAAGAGCATTTCTAGATCAATGTGTTTGTCTCGACATATAATTTCTATTAGCACATCCAGTAGGAATCTCAGTTGTGGATCATGGAAGCATTTGTGCCACCTTGTGCATGGATATGAAGTAGAAGATCGTCCCTGTCCCGGAGAGTCCAGTTACGTACCAGCTATAGAAATGAAATAAAGTTGACTATGCTTCTTATTCTAGGTGTCCCTTGATGAACCTTCTGGGAAAGATGCTTTACAACCCGGGCGTAATCTTGTGGCAGCTGGTTATGCTCTCTATGGCAGTGCCACAATGCTGGTACTGGCCACTTCTGCTGGAGGTGTCAACTGTTTCATGCTGGATCCGGTGAGAAAGTCTTCTGTTTCTTTGTTTCTTTATTATGGATAACAAGGTACTGTTTATAAGAACTGTTTGTCCCCCTCAAAATCAAACAAAGGAGCAATTTTCAAGCTAACAGGGAGAAATGAAGTATGCTTAATAACCCATCAGCAATAATGTCAAGAGATTTTTGCGTTCTGCCTGCCCGCTGCAGCGGTGCAATGTGTGATTCAACAACGGGAAGACAGCCGAGTCAGTGAAGCAAAGATGCAGCACGTGCCAAATCATGTGATATTTAAAATGAGCTGGTTTCTGCAATGCAGAATGCCCTTTAAGACTTGTTTGTCTTTTCCTTAATGTTAGGACCTTAGTAAACCAGAGAAGCAGAAATATTTAACCTTCTTCTGTGTTTTCAGATCCCACCATGATGTGTAAATGAGTAAGTGATGCGTGTGGGTGCATTTGATGTTCTAGCATGCTTTGACCAGACGAGTTTTAAAATAAAAGTCATATTGATCATAGCAGAAAGCAGTTTGCTTTAGTGACCCATTTTTTTTTAATCAGTTAGTCAGCCTGTGCCACCTGCCAGTATTAAATTTTTAGAACCTGCCGTGGTCAAGTAAATATAACTTGGAACTCCCTGTTAAGTAACAGCTTAAGTATCTGCATGTATTTTTGTCCATATTCAGATAGCAGATTTAACTTTGAGCATGCATGCATGTTATTTTGTTTATTTTTGGTACTAACTTGGAAATTTACTTTAGTGAAAACTAAACAGACCAGCCCTTGGTTACAGAGATTTGCTCTCTTGACTCCAGGCTTCCAGTTAGCCCAAGCTAAGATGAACTGGAATTTATTAATATTACAGATATTTGAAGATGTTTATTCATTGCTTCAACCAGCACTCTCAGTTTCCAAACTCCTCAGAACTGTACTTTTATTGCAAGTCCAGCAAAAGAGTGGAGAGCTAAATAAATCTACAGGCAACAGCATTTTTTGGCATAGCAGAGTGATAGAGACCTGGGAATGGTAGTATGAAGAAGCTTGCATGGCCCCAGGATTCATGCTCTGTGTTTTACAGATAAACAGAACACTCCTTATCTAGACTGCAAATACCACTTTTTCATAGGTACTGAATTATTCAAGAAAGTGGCAGAAGTAGTAAATTTTTCCTAAATTGTGTGTATGATTTGTTTTTGCTCGTTTATTTACAAACCAAGACAATTAACATTAACAAATTGTTTTTCTTTCTTATTGTTAGGCAATTGGGGAATTCATTTTGGTGGATAGGGATGTGAAAATCAAAAAGAAGGGAAATATCTACAGTCTCAATGAAGGTTATGCTAAATACTTCGATCCTGCAGTCACAGAGTATCTCAAAAAGAAAAAATTCCCTGAGGTAAAAGGTCCTATTTCAGAGAAACTTTCTGATGACAAGCAACACTCATGAATTCCAACTTCATGATCAGTTGCTGTCTAATGCACTGTTCAGAGCTTGTTTTCCTTTCCTGTCTATTTAAAATGTATCTTCATGTAGGAGGGATAATTAGAGCAGCAGTTGATGTGCCAGATATTTCACCATCCTTCAGTACTGCACTGCACCTCTATTATTTTTTTTTCCTTTCTTTCTTTTTTCCTCTTCTTCTTCTTTTTTTTTTGTTAATTTTCCTTCCTCGCTGGGAGCCTGAGTAACAGTTCTGGAGGCAAAACTAGGCATTTGGTAGTCAAGTAGAGAAGAAATCTCATCTGGTGATGAAGAAATTAGATCGACCTGTGTGTTAGATTGCTACTTCCTCACTGCAGTATCTGAGTAGAAGGAGAGGTGATTGGGGATGGCAGTGGGTCATTGCTTAGTGGTAACACAAGCTGGGTCCTGAGGGGGCCTCTCATTGAAAAGCTAGTGTAGTTTCAGGGTCTACTTTGTGGTCATGCAGCTTCCTGGAGGAGGCCTGAAGCTCTAAGAAGTGCCCATAAAAATCATGTCTGTTCTTGTGCCTTACAACTGTCATCACTGGAGTTATTACGTCGACAATGAAGCATACACATTTACTATTGTTAAGTGTTCCTTCTTGACTTCCTGATCTTGCTTTGAACAAAGACTGGCATTTTCATCTGGCATCTTGCCAGGCTTAAGGTGTTGTTTATTTAGATATTAAAATATACTCTCTGAACTATAATAAAGAAATAATATCAGTAGTCAACTATTAACTTTTTCTTACCAAAAAAGTTGCAGAAGCTGGCAAAAATGTGTAGGAAAGATCACGTCTTTTATTCCTTGATAATTTTTTCTGCTACAAAAGAAAAAAAACCAACATCAATTCCTAACACTTCATCTTTTTGCTACTAGAAATGCAGTATTTTCCAAGGGTTAGAGCACTGATGGAGAGCTGGGTTGTATTTTCTGTTGTTGGCGCTACCACTCATCTGTCCTGAAATCTTCTGTCAGTTCTTTTCCTTGGATTTTTCCAGTTAGAAAATGAGGAGGAAACTGGAATTTTCTCCTACTTGAGAAAATTCTCCCACTACCTTGAATATTGTCAATGGAGCACAATTTGGAGGAGTTAGATGTTAGGACCACTAAAAGAGGGGAAATAAAAAAAAAGATTAACCTGATGTTCTTGAAAGTTACAGTTATTTAAATGTCTTTCTGTAGGATGGCAGTTCACCATATGGTGGGAGGTACATAGGATCCATGGTGGCTGATGTGCATCGCACACTGGTGTATGGAGGAATCTTTTTGTATCCTGCTAACTCCAAAAGTCCCAAAGGAAAGGTAAACCTGAATAAGCCCAATTATAGAAAATGTTACATTATCCAGATATTTCACTATCAGAGATCAGTATTTTGATTGCAGAACATGTGTTTTATGACTTGGTAGCTTGCACCTCTGGTATGTGAGTACAGCCACCCCCCACACTCTGTTATGAGTGACAGCGGCCTGTTGTCAGACACCAATTTTGGGGCTGGTGCTAACCTGTTTCAACTGACTCTTCTTTATCCTCAAACATATCCAGATTATGGAACGTACCAGGGGACGTGCTGTTCAAAGAGGCTTCTCTGTACCAACTCAGCCCGCACTGTGCTGGCCTCAACCAAGTGAAACATTACAAAGCACAGTAAAAAATCCACATTACCCTGAGTTTCCTATTACAAGGCAGTATGTAAGAAGCCTAAATGTAGCGTGCCCCTTAGGAGAAGCTCTGCCAAAGAGAAAACCGTCTGCAGCTTGTACTTGGTGACACTGCCTCATTGGGAGGAACTATGCGTGGCTGCCTCTGCCAGGATGACAGTCAGTCAGGGGAGATCACACACTTACAGGCTGACAAGGGGACTGTTTATTCAACAAAGACCTTTCATCTGTTTTGTAATTGTCCGTAAATTATTGCTTCAGGTTGCAGATAAGATGCAGTTACTCATTAGAGAAACCTAATGGCACACTCGGGGCCAGTGTTTTTCTTTCTCTTCACACAGGCCTACGTGGTCTGCTGCCTTGTTAAAGGTTGTGTCTTAAATGTGAGCTTTATCTTTGTGTAAAGAGCACAACGCAAACATGAGCTATGGAGAAACCACTCAAATTGGGCAAATCCAGCATTCGCTGTTTTGTTTAAAAGAAAAATCTGCACAGTTTCATTCCTGAGTCAAAGTTTGTATGAACTATGGAGTGCTTGGAGAGTTGATTGGTTTTAAATCAAATGCCAAATATGTTTACATTTCATGATTGTCAGCATTGCCTGGGCTGACCATTGCCATTTTGGGTTTTGTCTTCTAGCTGAGACTGCTCTATGAATGCAATCCTATGGCTTTTGTTATTGAGAAGGCTGGGGGAATAGCAACAACTGGGCATCAAGCAATACTAGATATAGTGCCTGAGGATATCCACCAAAGAGTGCCCATTGTCTTGGGATCTCCTGATGATGTGAAGGAGTACCTTGAGATAGTCAAGAAGCATTCGGCTAAGTAAAGAAAGCTTGCTGGAGTCACTGTGCAGATGGGAAGAAATGCCTTACAGCTGAACCAAAGAACACACTGCAGCACTGCAAGATTGAACTGTCTGACCTCCATAGCAAGAGAGCAAATGAGCCATATTTTCATGAGATTTTTTTAAGTGAAATCTTGTGCAATTGCATTGGTCAATGAAAGGCACTAAAAGATTGCATTAAAGGAAGCAATAAAAGTAAAAGCAAGGGAAAAGTATGTTTGCCTTTTCTTTTATCATTTGTGATTACACTAAAGCCACTGTGCTACAAGGAAATACTGTGTTACATTCAGTAACTAGGGGAAGATTCAACTTCCTCAGACAAGCTACAGACTATCACCAGAGTATCTGACTCTGTCCTCTCCCAGAAATCTTGGGGGGAAGACTCTGCAGCCTCTTACTGTGAGTGACCTTTCCTAGACCAGTCTCTAGCTCTTTGGCAATAAATATAAATGCTAATGTGGACACCGTCACATGTTGTTTTTAGGCCCCAGAAGTTACTGACTGTACTTCAGTGTGGGCTTATTCTGACTGAGAATTAAACGTTTGTGAAACATGTACCTTAGTGCATGTTAATTCTGACACGTACTGTTAATATTGCCAGTTGGCACTGTATGAGATCCAGTTACACAAGGGTGGAAAATGACATTTTGGAGGTGGATTTTGAATCGGATAAGGAGCATGTGTAGACAGCTTGGTGCCATACTGCTGTGATGAGCTGGCTATCTTTGCCAGAAATTAACCTGCTTTCTTGATGAAAAAAATGAACATGTGTGGTGCTAGCAACCCCCACCAGATGTTCTTTGTGTTATTTTGGGAGTGTGCATTACCACGGAAAAGGATTCTGCTGCGCAAGCAGAAGTAGGTTGTGAAGATCCCCACAAAGCATACTGACATTTAATATGCTGATTCAGAGCATGCTGCTGGGAACATGATGTTAGTGCTTGGAAGCTAGATGGGCTGTCCACCTGTCTGGGTACAGTTTATGGATGTGGCTCACAAACTTTTTGAATCAGTCCAAATCTGACATTTCTCACTGCCCACTTGCCTTCACCAAACTCAAACTATGGGATATGTGGATGTTGCTGTTGGGTAGACTGCCACTGAACATTCGCTCAAGCCATGGTCTGGGAGACCCTGTCTATGGGTGCAATGAGCTATAAACCTGCCTGTCTGAGAATTTTGCACACACCAGTGGGGATAGCCTGCCTAAGCTTGGTTCTTCTTGTAAAACAAGAAGAAAAGGGGGGGGG